GCGACCACCTCAGAAGTGCCAGGGACACATACGAGGAGGAGTTTGGGTTTTCGCAGGAGGGGGATGATTGAAGCTCCAGGCAATTCCTCTCCCAAACTGGCGTTAAACACGGGAATTGTCGGCCCAGGTCGGCCGATGTAGAGTGACATCGTATCAAGCGGCCTCGATATAGTCCTGCGTGTCAATGATGCGGCGCTTTTTTTTTTTTTTTCTAAATCTACCTCCCGATCGCCTGCATGTGTTTGCACCAGCGCACCTGTGAGACGTTCTGCACAGTTCCCCCGTCACTGGAGCAATGAGCACCGAGGGGAGAGGGAAGGAGGAGGGAGGGCCAACGAGGGAGGGACGAGACAGAAGGGACGTGGGGAGAGAGGGAGCGGACTGGGCGGGGGGCGGTCGGGCCGGACGAACGGAGGGGGGTATGATGAAGGAAAGGGGGGATCATACGACAGCGGCTGCATGCAGCTGGCCTCGGCCTCGCTGAAAGGGCGCTTTCCTGGACAAGTCGGCCCCCCCCCCCGGCGCCGGGAGGCGCCAGGGCGCCAGCTGTTGTGAGCTGAGTCGCTGACCCCGCTTCTGCCACCAGCCCCGTTTTTTGTCGGGCCCGAGGGTATCTACTAGGCCGTCTGCTGTGAGCTAATCCTGCCCCAGGTGGTGATTATGGGCGTGTTTCCCACCACCACCACCACCACCACCACCACCACCACCACCACCACCACCACAAGTTGGGGGGGTCCTCCTCCTCCTCCTCCTCCTCTTCTTCGTCCACCTCCTTCCCCCCTCCAACTTATGGTGGTGGTGGTGGAAAACAGGCTCATCAGGTGACAGCAATGCGAGAGCAAGTTTAGAGAGCAGCAAGCAAGGAACAGCAGGGCGAAGGGGGGCGACCCCAACCCGAGGGAGGGGAGAGAGAGAAAGAGAGAGAGAGAGAGGGGGAGGGAGTTTGGGAGGGCAGGGAGAGCTTTTTTATGTGCTATTCAACTTCTCCTTCAACCTCCGAGGATGAAAGCGACAAGGCCGCGAGGCGAGCTGCCAGCTGTACTGGGGTGCCATGCACCCCGCTGCTCTGAAAGAGCTGCGCCAGGGCGCAGGCACTGCAAGCAGCTCTACTCACCAAACAGAGCCGAGCCTGCATTCACCAGCACTTCGGTGCTGCTGCCCAGGACACTCTGCCTCGAACGGCCATCTGCCTCACAGAAAAAGATAGCAGGAGGACCCTGGCCAGAGGCAGAGGTCCACAGGCACCAGGGGCGGTGGAGCAACTGGCACGCGACTCGCCGTGTAGGAGGAGGAGGAGGAGGAGGAGGAGGAGGAGGAGGAGGAGGAGGAGGAGGAGGAGGAGGAGGAGGAGGAGGGGGATTTTCCTCGAGGGCCCCAGGGCAGAACATCACCATACGGCCTCAGGCCGATTCTGCTGCATGAGCAGCCTCCTCTCTCTGCTTAATCCTCTCCGCCAGGGCCGACATTCCAGGTGTCGAAATCAAACCCGAGCGAGAGGAAGAGGAGGAGGGCGGGCCAGGGTCAGCTGCCTTGAGCAGGACATACTTGGCCGAGGCACGACATGTGGTGCCATCGATTGCAGCGACAGTGCCCCGATTCCTGTAATGGGGCGGGAGACCTCGGCGGATGCGTGACAACGCACCTCGCCCACTAGGGCCAGGAGGTCCGCACATCCCGCCAAGGAGATAACACCGCTTGCTGGTGACGGCACCGCAGCGGTAACAGAACACCGTTGGGACACACTCGTCATCCTGCTCAAAAGTAGTGCACAGGAGGTGGCCCCGCTCGCTCTCGGCGCCCTGCAGCCTACGGAGGGCCGTGGGGAGACCTTTGCACCCATCCATGGGTCTGGCCTCTCCGATGGCCGTCTTGAAACAATTCGAGCACCTGGCTAGCGAAGGTGTTTCTTCGTCCCCAGGGTCCAGAACGAGCCAGTCGTGCCACACGATGGCACGGAGGGTCCGAGCTTTCACCCTAGAGACCGTGGGGTCCCGTTGAAACTGGAGTTTCGGAAAAAGCGACAAAACTGCACCGAACATGGCCACCAGCTTCCGCAGGAGGGCCACATCCTTGTCTAATTGCTCCAACTCCTCGCCTGGCAACGAGGGGTGCAGAGACAAAGCGTGCTTAGCCAGACTGTCCGCATCCTGGTTCCCAAGAGCGATTTTTCGTTCCTGGGCGGGAAGCGCGGCTATCACCTCGTCTGACTTGTGTGCTGGCGTGTGAGCGAAAGAAGCAATGCAGCGCTGGCCTGTCTCCTGGAGGGCACGCCGCCGAAGTCCAGCGAAAACATGGCCTGGGTCCAACTGTCCGGACGGCTGCGCACTAACCAGGTGCACAGCTCCCAAACAGTCCGAGTGGGCCTCACTAAGGCCTGTAGCCACACAGGCGAGGGTGGCAGCCCCGAGGTGTTCTCCCGACTGGGCCGTCTGGGGAAGGCCAGGCCAAACCGTTCCAATAAGTCGAACGCGAACCTCACACGGGGTCCCACTCGACATGTCGAAGGAAACGGCAGCATATGTGGCACGATTCAGCTCGCGAAAAGCAAGCTGGGTAGCCGAGCCGTCAACAACGATGCGGGTGTTGACAGTTCGCTCACAAAACTCTTCGACCGATAGTGGCTCGCCTGACGGCCCTTGGAGAAGGGTGTCAAGCTCGAGGCAAGGGGGAGGCGCCTCAGGCTGAGCCACCACAAGTCGAGACCAAAAAAGCAGTCTTTCAGGAGAGCAGGTACGGGCCGCTAGTATCTCCTCATCTGAGAGATGCTCGCGACGTGCAGCTTCAACGGTCGGATCCGAGCAAACAAACTGCCTGTGGACTATGGAATCGGGCTCCCCACAAAGCGGACACAAACCATCCGAAACGTACCCCGAGGATTTCAGCCGATCCGCAGTCCAACAGGCCCCAGAGAAACACGAAGAACGCCAATACTTCTGACGACCATCGAGCTTCTTTGAGCGCAGCATTCGTCTCAATGGGTCGGGTGAGACGCGGGAATAAGTGAAACTCGGTGTTGCCTGGGCCATCCTACGCTCATGCATCCGCTTGACTCCCTCCTCAAGCAACTTATTGAGGAGGGCAGGCGAGGTGTATAGCAGGTCAATGACATAACCTCGCTCATCGTGCCACACTGAGAAACCTGCCGCCTTCCAGCCGATCCTGTGCAGACATAAGAGCATCCTATGGATGGGGCCTTTCGATTGTTTCCATCCCGTGGGTTCCAGATCAAGCTCCTGGCCCTCGACAACATCTCTCCAAATCTGTATGTGCTGCCGAAAGGAGAAAGGGGCTGTGGAGGGTGTGGTTATCGATCTCCATAGACTGGTTGCCCACTCGTGGGCTGGCGCCACCGACTGTTTCCAAGCAGGGCCGCCGTGCAAAACCAACTTGGCCGTCAAAGAGGCCCCCCGATGTGCTGGGCTTCTGCCTGCTAACAATGCTCGCTGCAAGGATTGAAGCTCAGCGTTTGACATGCCTAGCACCACTGCGCCATATCCAGCAGCAGGGCGCACTCCAGCGATGTAGATCTTCTGCATTCTCGATTTATTCCGAGGAAGTCTTCGACGATAGTGAGAAATCAGCTTGTGTCTTTTTCTCATCATCCTGAAACGTTCCTTCCTCTTACTCATACCTCCTTTGCAGGATCTCCGTTGACCTGGGGACGGGTCCGTGCCCAACGAGACGACCGCGCTGGTCGCGGCCGAAGGACAGACAGCTCGGAGCCGACGGCACAGACGGTATGCGAGTCGCTGAGACGAGGCGAAGGTGATGGCCTTGTCCTCAGCCAGGCGGACGTTAAGCTTGTGATCGAAGACATTCTTGAGGTCAATCCCTGCACGTACTAAGTTGGCAACAATCGTGTCTTCGTCGCCGTAGGCCGCCACCGTGTCGTCGTCGACGTATGATCCAAGGGAGACCCCAGGGTGCCTCTGAGACCACAGGTCAAACTCAAACATCGCGTAAACCTTGACAAACACGTCATTGAAGATATCCCCAGCAGGAAGCCCAGACTCCGCAAAAAGAACCAAAGGTGAGTGATTTGCCCCCCCCAGTCTCAGAATCCTTGGAGATCTCCAGAGGTTATAAAGAGTCTTGACGAGCACCATGGGGATCCTCCAGAACATGGCCCATATCACGGAGCCAAACCAGGATAAAGGACTCGTAGTACTTCATACCGTCCCATATGAAGCCTGCAGTAGCCTTGCCACTCGAAGAAGCCTGCTCCGAGAGGACACTCTGGTTCCAGATGGCCGCCTCCGAGTTTTGCCCCGACCCGAAGGACCAGTAGGGCCGATGGGCCCGCTCCAGGAATTCGTCGCACTGGCACCGTCGTAGGCGTTCCCAGACACGAACGGGGGACCCCAGAAGCAGTATGGGCCGTAGACCTCCTTTCGGCTTCTCCAGGAGAGGCATCAGCATCCACAGCAGCTGCGCTGGGAACAAACCTAGGCGCTCGATCGCCTCGCAGAGCATCGCAAGGACCTCCAGCCCAAGGTCACTCAAGCAGGCAAAGTGCCTGGGGTGGTAGCCGTCCAGCGACTGCGAGGTGTGGCGGCTAAAAGAGCGCGATGCTGCTCGTATCTCCGACGGGCTCGCGCGAGGGAAACAATCTCGATTCGGTATCCAGGCCGACGGGGGAGCGGTCTTGGCATTCCAGAACTCGCCTAGCTTGGTGGTCTCGGAGGCCAGGAGGCTCTGAGGGTCTGCGGTGAAGATCCCTGGGGAGCGCTCGACAATCGTGGGCTGCCACTTCTTCTGGACCTTCGTGAACCTATGCATGGGCCTCGCGGAGCCCGCCAACGACTTAGCTTGCCAAGAGTCCCAGGATTCACGTGACGCCTTCTCGCCATCGTTGATGGCCTCATCATAGTCAGCCTGGATATCTTCCAAAAACTGGTTGGCTCGATCGCGCCACGACTGCTCCGCAGGACGGTCTGCACTCCACGCTAGTGCTATCTCGCGCATGGTGCGCAAGGTGGCATCCAGCCGTGGGCTCAAAC